CGGATTGGACGGGGGCTCTATCTTCTCCTTCTTTGGATGTTCCATGCTGGAGCTGGAAATGGACGGTGGCTCGGGGCTTTCCTGCTTAATCTTGCGGCCCATGAACACATCCCGAAGCTCCTGGAACTCGGTCTCTGCCCCAGGGTCGTCTTTGTCTTCGTCCCCACACACCTTCACCATACCCCTACCCTTGCCGTCGACAAGCGGCTTACCATCCACATCAACGGCGGGCGTTGCGCCAGAGGTGTGCACGTCTTCCTGATCGTCCTCGGTGTCGCTCCCTGATTCAGTCTCATCTTCATCCTTCTTGATGACAATTGGCTCTTCTCGCTGCTGCTCGAAACGTGCGAGGGCGGCAGCCGCCCGAAGCTCTCTGCCCCTTGCACTTCCCGCCACTCGAGGTTTCCCCTGGACTTTCTTCCCCTTCTCCAGCTTCACCTTGACCTCCACGTCCTCACCAAGGGCCACGCCATTCTTTCCAAACTTCTTCTCGATCCTCCTCTGCTTTCGCTCCTGGTAGCTCAACACCGGTTTGGCGTTTTTGGACTTTCGCTTCCTAGATCGAAAGGTGCCCCCGCAGAGGTGCTCAGGCAGCACCTCTCCTGGCTGCACCGTGTTCCTCTCCCACTCTCCAGTCCCCAGCTTCGCACCGCGGCCCCACACTCCATCGCCAGTGTATCCCCTCCCCCAGAGGGCCCGCATCTCAGCAGCGTAGCCATTACGCACCGCCCAAAAGGCACGTGAATGGTTCATCTGCTTGCAGTGCGCCAGCTCGTGCATCATCACCATCTGCACGTACTCGAATGGCAGCCACCTGCCGGACGTCGGCGACTTCAACACGAGCTGTATGACCTCGCCCGCATTGAAGTTGCGCCCAACGAACTCCCGGTTGGGTGGGAACTCCTCAAGGGACATTACGTAGATGTGGTGGTCTCGCATGACGGGCACTGGGAAGATGATGGGTGTGTGTTAGCACAGCATCCCGAGTAAAGGCCGGGGGCAGTTGGTGAGTCTGCGAAATGAACGGCTACCCACGGCATTGTGCTGCTATTCGCTCTAGGAATTCCTGTGCACGGCTCTCGTCCGACCCTTTTAACGGCTTGATGAAATTAATGTGGCCGTTGGGCTGTGATTTCCTCACATTCAGCCGCTCGACTCCCAACGGCATGCTGAGCTGCCTCGTTCCGACAACGGACCAGACACGTGATTGAAAGATGTAGAAAACAGTAAACTGACAGGTAGGGTGGTGAAGTTGAAACAATTTTGTCGTTAAGGTTATGTAGGCGATGGTGATAAGGGTGATAAGACGGCCTTACGAAATCACTGACGCGTATTGGGGCTCGCGAGAAGGAGCGCGATGTCACGTGCCCATTTGGACTTTAATTGAGGTGAACGACACCATTTGAAACCGTGTCAACTCTTGCAAATCTCGCAGTTCGGTTCTACTACTATTGCCTCGCCGGAAGCCAGTGGCTAAATCTATATAATGTATACTGGAAGGGTGTTGTTTCCATTGACTACCGGAGCGCGATCCTGCTTGGTCGTACGATACTACAGGAGAAGACTGTCACTGAGTTGTCGTCATTCAGCCAATAGAGATCGGTCATCATTAGGAATGACGCCAAAAAGAAACTTGCTATCATAAAACCGAGTGAAAAAAAAACTCCAAGCCCCCCCTTTCTAGTTGCAGAGGAGACTCGGTTCCCCATGGTCAATGACCACCTTCTATGGTTTAAGCCACCAGTTCAAGAATTAGTCTACAACATGGTAGGGCCATCCATCGATCAAAAAGGTAACTTTGATCAATCTCATCACAATGATAAATGCATCAATTCAATAGGCAGTATTTTATGGTCGCTTGGTTAGTCAAAGTCTACAAATGAACTCCGAATCCTCCTTGGGCGAACATGCTGGAAACCGCGAAAAAACAATAAGACAGACAATACTGCAATCGCACAACCGCCTAACATAATAATAATGAAACAATAACACATCTTGCCATTTGGGTATTATAAAGCTGCACTTTGTGTCTCCCCGCTTCTCCCCTCTTCTCTTTCTCCTGCCATTGTTCACTTGCTGTCTATCGACTGAACACACTGACGACGATTTGTCCTCGTGCCGCTCACTATGGAGCCCAAGCCAGACCAAGGCTCTGGACCCTCTACCCCAGGTGATGAGGAACCCGAAGAGTTCGTTTCGAGCCTTTGCGTTACAGTGAGCCAGCGACCGTAACCAGGCTTCTAGACACGCAAGTCTCTCCGAAAACCCTTGAGGAGGTCCTCCTCACGGCTGTTTGAACTGAATTTTGATTTCCTTCCTCTTCAATAAAAAACGAGGTCCCTGGGCGGAGGGTCTATTTTTGCTACACCACAGCGAGGCTTGACCCAATAGAATACGGCGACGAGATTGCTGAACTTAGAGCAAGGCGTGAACTCCCCGACTACTATGAGACCGCATCATATACACCAGTCATTACAGCCCCAACTTTGGACATCCGGAATCCTATGGATCAGGCCAAGTTGAGGGAACATCATCGCAAGACCGAATATCCCATGGGCTTATTCGGTGCATATTATCCCCCCCCCCGAGATCAATAATATCCCTATCCTCGCTGTTTACACCTAATTCAAAGACGTTGACTCAATGAAGGCGTTTGTAGCTCAAGGTGCTATAAAAGAGGATAGTGTAGCGGAATATACCACAACCATTCGGTCCGAACGACGTGCGCCCCTTCTGGACTTGGGTGACGACGATGATTTCTCCTTTCCTCGCTCAGAAAACGGTCACGAAGACCAGGAGTCTGTCTTGCCCCATGATTCGGTGAGCAATCTCGGCCGTGGTGATGGTCCGCCGGACGATCCGCCCTCTTCTCCCAGGAGCGACCCGGACGACTCGTCCCACCACCGCTCGGAAACCCCGGATCCCATAATTTTTGAGCCCTCCGCATGGCATACAATTGGGGGAACCGACCGACTGTGCCACTATACATGGACTGTTTGAAGGAGACTGCCACGAACAGCTCCAGTTGTGCCCGTTGCTGTCATGCTAGGGAATCTTGTCGCCGCGGTCAAACTATCTTGGAAGAGCAGTGAGCTGCTAACAACGCTAGATCAACAGATATGCAGTCCTTCAACCCCTCAGTGCCATCAGCTTCCCAAGCAAGTCAGAAAGATAGCGACTCCAGATCCAGAAATCGCCGAATTCAGCGATAATAACAAATATTTCACATCAAGTCCTTCAGATTCAACCCCTAGGGATAATACAGACTGTTTTAATTATCTCCCGGCTCAGCCCACCTGGAATCCAGATAATCTTACCTGGACTTCAACTGAGAGTACCTCTGATTCAGAATAATCCTCCATGCTGCTGTCCTCTATCAACACGGATGCCATTGATGAGTCTATCTGGGACCCTAACATCCAGGAGCTAATTGATGGGTATACTTGGTGCGCCATTACTACGGATGTACCAGAATGGTACATCTGTCCAATATACAAGACTCCTCTTGGGGACCAAGAAGACTATCAATATATCTACTCCTCTATACCAGTTTCATTTCCATCAACCCTAGCCGCGGTATTCAAGTCCCCAAGTCCACCTTCGCTGGACTTCTTCCGGACGCTCAGTTCGGCCCCTGTTCCGGAGAATGTTTGGGGAATCTATATCTACATCCTAGAGAAGACTGGTCACAAACCCCGCCTCTATATAGGCTCTGGAACTGAGGTATCGTATGGCGATAAAGTCCGGCTCAGGCATTATAAACTAGGCACGCTTCTTCCCAGCATGGTAGAGGATTCGCTAGCTGAGGGTTTCAGCATCATATATACCGGACTTATATGCTGGGCCCCAAATCCGTCCCCCGAACATATCCCTTCCGCCCGTGTTCGCTTCGTTGCACTTGAGGCCTTGTTTGCACAGATCTTCCATATCGCTATCAGGCATACTGGGGACATATACAGCCCTCCTTTGTGACCTTGGAGAGAGAATCAGTCGAATGGGACCCTCTCTGCTCATATACAGCCTTTATAGAACATCCCAGGGAGAGCGAAGCATCGATTGAGTCGAGACGTCCACGGTCGACTCTCAGTCCACCAGATGAGGAGGAAGGCAGTGGTTTTTATTAGCCCATTCTATCTGTATTCTATTCGTGCCAAGCCTCGCTGCGGTGTAGCAAATATAGTCCCTCCGCCCAGGGACCCCTTTTATTTATTAAACACAAGGATAAGAGAATAATAAGATATTCTACGATATTTAGATTGATATCGTATTTCTTACTCGGTTAGTTGTTTTGAAATTGTGTTGAATTTCAACGCTCGAGTGTCCAAGTGTGCCATGTCTTATGTCAGTCGCTTGCCGGCGTCCAGAATGGTGCAGCAAGAATGAGATGAGGCAGGCCATGCATGTTGACGACGCCCACGCCGCAAACTCCAGAAGTGACAAGTAGCACTCTGGTTCCCGCGCTGTGGTTGAAATTCATAATGATCCTCGTCCTGTCTCGAACAGCCTGTGTCCCATTGTATTCATTAACTGGGAAGTGGAGGAGGTCGTCTTTAGAGGCCTTACGGGCCAAGGCCTCGGCAACGACATCGAGTAGCAGGAGAGAAGCCGACATGATTAGGATCTCCTCTCCGGGTAGTTCGTTGCGATCCCTCTCACAGTCTCCACGATCGACGTAACTCGAGGGGAGAAGACGTCCCGGGAATCAGCGTGCCGCAGGTTGTTTTCCCACTCCGCAGTGAACGATGGGTGGGAGCGCATACTTCGCTTCTTGGGTGAGGATGATGATGGTACCGGCGGGTCAACATAGCCGTCCCCGAGGTCAATAGTAAGTGAGAGAGCTATACAGTTATGCGGCAGCTGCTGAAAGAAAAGGGGAAATTCCCAAGCACCAAGAATTTATCAACTTGACACCATACCCAGCATCACAACATATTAATCCCCAGAGGTCAATAACCTCTGGGATCAAGCTACCGTCCTCGTGGACTGGGTCATAGTCTCCATCATTCGTCAGCGTACTGAAATCCTTCTTTAGTATCGCCGTGCGACCGCACCAAGTTGTTGTCGTTTTGGTCCCCGACAAGGTCGGCTACGTTGCCATCAGCCTCGTAAAATGCTCGGAATTCGATGTAGTGAGCCTCCGTAAGATGGTTCAGGAAAGTATCTTGGGGCATCCCCTTAGCTGTCAGGTATCGTTCAAACATTATAGCTATTGCAGCCGGCACTTCTGCTCGCAACCCTTTTGGGCATTCAGGGGCGTGGACGGTGAGGCGGGACGCCGCATGCTGCTGCGCTCTCATTAGTTTCTGGAAAGCCCGAGTCTTGAGCCACCTAGCGTCCCGCGAGCCCCCTTGCCTGGCCGCCTGTGATAAGAGGCTGTTGCTGGAAGTGACAAGACCGCGGATGGTCTCAAGCTGTTCCCAGCAACTGGTAAAGTCGACATGTACCGTGTGCCGCACCATTGGTGGTGGGTCAAGAGTGCTCTTCGGTCGTGCAAATATTGTAGCTGAGAGCAAGATCTTCATGAACAAGTTCACAGGCGAGTTTGGGTCATACACGGCTTCCTGGGGGGGATTGTAAAATCCCCTTTTCATGTCTAGAAAAGCTTGACCGCTAGGTAGCAACGCCATCTGCCGACACACGTCCTTCCACATGCTGTAGAGAGAGGTATCAGACAAGAGCACCGCATGCCGATATGGCAGCGATCGAATGCTTCGGTTGATGAGGGAATCGACTCTTTTGGCGTGTTGCGATTCGTCAACAATTATGACCGGGCATCGTTTGTTAGCTCTCTCATACCATGGCGAATGGAGTGGTAGGCTTAGGGAACGATGATGCGTAAGGAACGATGATGCAGAAGGTGACGACGATGCTTGATGGCTCCCACCGAACCCCGGCTTTGTCGAACGGGAGACTGGTGTTTTGTCGGTCCGAATATCCAGGCACCCCTTTGGTCGATGGCTGGCCCTACCTTACGTACATTGCGTATCCGCATCCTTTCTCCTCCTTCACCATCAAATTCTGCACCCACTGACACACAATCACAACTCGCAACAATGTCTGACGAGGAGCCACTTGACGAGAAGCCACTTTGGGAGCAGTTTGGCTTCGAATCTCTTGAAGAGCTAGGTCGATTCCATAAATATGATATGGCTAGGCGAAGGGCCACAAGACCCCTACCGACGGATGAGGAGGCGGAGAATCAGCAGGCGGAGGACCTGTCCAAGAAGGCCGAGAAAGCTGCCGAGCCAGTCGTAGGCTGACAAGATCAAGGTACGTTATTTGGATGGTGGGCCTAGATAATACATGGCTAATGTTTAAACTAGGCCATTCAGGGTCCCGACAGCAAGAAGGGTGCTGAGTCTGAAAACAACGAGGAGATACCCAAAGGAATGGGCGCGGGTGACAACACCACTTCGGCGACGAACAAATAATAAGGCAACCTATGGCAAGGGCAGCTGCCTGAAACAGTCACACTGAGGTGGATGATATCCAATCTGGGCTATTTAAGCACATGTTAGCCCATGAGGTTGGTCGGTTTGGGTGCGTTGAGAAGCTGCAAGGCTGAGTTGGTAAATGAGGTAGTTGGTAGGCAATATGAATCACACTGCAGCCCCGTGCATCATCTGCAGACAGCACTCAGTGAGGTGTCGAGTCCTTAGGGTTCAAGAACGCGCAGATGGCCTCTAGGCCCTACCGAATACAATCAAGGCATGTCCTCCTGGGTTTAAGCCCTTTGACGGTTACTGGTGCGGATTTGCTGTACTATAATACCACATAGGGTGGCGTGCACATATCTTGCCTCTTGAACCTCATGTTGCTTGAGAGACTCTGACTTGGTACCTCTTCCTCCTGGGCCCTCTCTACTATGCCCTTCTAAATTATCATTTCAACCCACTTAGCTGACTCTTTTGTCTTTCTTCATGATAAGCGACAGCCGTGAAGCTGACCAGCGTGTCTTTCGTAACGACGAGGGGTCGTCGTGTAGCCAACCTAGCTGTCTGCTGAATAAGACAAAGATCCGTCCGGCCGCCCTCAGAGGAGGGTATTCAAGCCATAGCACTTGAATCCAACGAGACATGCTGACAATGTTTTATTGACTGTCTACGTTTAGGTCGATCTCCGAGCCAGTATTTCCCCAACCACCTTGGCCGTCGCGTTTACGATTAGCGGATGCTCGCGGGCATGCATCTTCTCCTTGAACTGATCTAGCTCCTCTCCCTCCCACTTGATCTCCTCAGTCAGGATGGGAGTGCCCTTGTCTACTTCGTGGATCACATAATGGGCCATGATACCTGTGCGCGTCAGTCGCCCGGCCTTGAACTCGTCAAAGGCTCGCTCAATGGCATTGGCGCCGTCAAACTCATCTGGCCGGCTGTTAGCATATCACCTTGGTCAGTTGCTCTTGGAACCTACTTGGCAATGCTCTGTAGAAGGTGGGTTAGTGCTTCTTCTCTCTCCAATAACGCTGATGGAGTAGTGATAACGTACGGATGTAAATTGATAATAAGGATGCCAGCCTTTTGGAGAGGCTCCAGGAAAGCCTCGGAGAAGATGTGCATCCAGCCGGCGAGAACAATCAGCTCAGGCTGTTTAGCAACCACCTTCTCGGCCAATGCAGCATCGTATTTTTGACGAGCTTCAGCGACCTTCTGCTCATCCTTTTCCCCCTTGGGTAGAAACCCATGGCTGATTAGATTGTAGTACTCCGAAGGGATGCCTTGTCAAGTTAGAAAAACAAGTGTTGTTGACGAATATAAAGAAGCCGCCAAGGAGAATCTCACCCGCTTTCTCAGCTCGTACGACTGCGTGCGCCTTGCTCCGGTTCACAAAGAGAGAGATGATTTTGCTGTTGGGGATTTCACCCGATGCCACGGCGTCTATGAGGGCCTGGAAGTTTGAGCCAAAGCCCGAGGCCATGACCAGGATGCGGCATGGGGAGTCCTTGGCGGCCATTTTGTGAGTTTGAATGATGGTATGGCTGGGAAATGAAAGATCGCAATGGGTTATGTATGTGTGAGTGTGTGATTTTCAATGGCAATGAGGTGAGATGCAGTGCTGCCTCTTCAGCTATTTACTTTTGCGACGCCGAAATGCGGACCTTGGAAATAATTCTGCACAGCCAATTATGTCGCAGCCGGGTAAACCATTCATACGGCGGACTCTAGAAACACTCTCACAAGGTGCGAAACTTAATTGATTTTAGGTTTTCTTTTTGCTCTCGAAAAACACAAATATCACTATAAAATATGCATCTTTTAGTCGGGTAGTCAGTTCTTCTTATTGTATTCTAGAGATTTCATTTATACAGGCTTGGAGAAGAGATTTACGGGGAAAGATTTTCTCATCCCCCGGCTTGAAAAAGCAGAATTCGAGAGCGGGGCTGGGTTAAGCACCTTATCCATCTTTTTTTTTCTGACCACCAGGGAACACAATCATGAATATCTATACACATAAAGTAAGGGCATACGTAGAATGAGCTGGATTAGTGTATTGGTAGTTGATTATATTTGCAGTCAGGAAATGGCATGTCGTCGCAGTAGCATTTTGCCACTGGACCATCCAGCAGAATACCCATAACCTTGGCAAATATACATTATTTTATCGTGAACTCTGGAAATACATTTACAAACAGGATATTCCCATTGACCCATTATTCTAACCATCGACGACTCCTATAGGGGAGAGGAGCAGACATCTGATCATTTCGGTAGTAATTATACACCAAGCGCCCATAAATGTCATACCAAATAATCATGATTTGGATACCATCATAACAAACTCCGGGATGTAACAATGCCACGCTGACACAAGACAAAGATAACACATAAAACGATAATAATGCGAACCTGGAGAAATCTCTTCGGGGTACAAGGGTGGGTCTGCGCTGAAGCAACTACCAGCTGAAACTGCTTCAAGACTTCAAAAGGGAAACATACCTCCTCCCGCGTCCTGAAACCCTTGGAACAGATCGCTGATCCAGGGCTCTTGGAGGTCCTCGGACGACAATTGGAACTCGGGGGTCAATCCCAGATTGGTAAAGTCCAGTCCCGTGCCATCAGCGAGACCCATATCGATGTTAATTGGGAGGTTGGACATCCAGGAAGGTTCAGAGGAGGCGGCGGCAGCGGAGGAGGCGGCGAAGAAGGGCGGTTGCTGTTGAGGTTGAGACGTTTGTTGGGGGCCTGTCGTGGGATTGATGGCGGGTGAGCCGTCAGAGGCTGAGGAGGAAGGCGTGTTTGCATTATTATTATTGTTGGCCTCATAGAAGAATGGCTGGGGTTGGTTGCGGAAGCTACCAAGAAGGAAGCGTGCTGATCCGCTAGGTTTGTTGGCTCCAGTGCCCGTGGCCACTTCGGAGAGGAGCTGGAGGGGCGTGTTTACTCGAGCTGGTTCTTGCTGCTGCTGCGGGTTTTGTCTTTGAAAAGGTAACATCTGCTTGTTGCCAGATGAGCCATCGCCTTCTGGCCAGCCACTAGTCCTTGGCGATTTGGTAGAACCAGCCCCATCATCGCCCTGAGAGTTGTTCTTAGCCTCGAGCTTGCCCTGTTTGATGAACCAGCTCTTCAACATGGCGAGCACAACGAGGAACTTCGAGGCGGGCCGACTTCGATCGTCGGCGGCGGTGGCACGGAACTTGTCTATGAGGAGATCCATATAATAGCCAACCCGAAGATTCTCCTTGTTGACCACCTTCCCGAGGTCTGAGGTTGGGTTAGATGAGGTGAAGTACATCTTGAGAAGGATAACGAGGGCGTAGGCAACGCGGACGAAATTATAGACGGGCAGGCAACGGACGCTCGCCACGTCCAGTGACAGAAACGTGGTGAAGATGCCGTTGATTGCGCTAAGACATGATGAGATGGCATTGATGTGGGCGGCGGACAGAGGCTCGGGCCCGATAACACCTTCCTTGAATGCGTCGGTGTTGAAGGGTGGTCGTATCTGGTCGACGGCCGTTTTGCTATGAAGCACAATCTCGTGCATGTACAAGTTGATCATCTCAAATCCAAGGGTTAGTGCAGCTAGGAAGACAGAGAGAGTCAGTCAGGGCCCAAGGAAATCACAGAAAATAATGAATCAGTTACTTACGCCTCATGACATCCTCAGGAACTGAATTTCGCTTGTTTTCCAGCTCCCTCTCGAGAGCCCGCAGGGTGTGCTGCGTTCTCGCCTCGTTGATATTCACCCGCGCAGTCGCGTCCTCCAAGGCGAACTGATTGCTCACCTCCTCACCCAACTTGTGCGTCCACACAAGATGACAGAAATATGTGTCCGACGGTGCGGCATCAGGGGATGACTCCAGTACTTCAAGCGACTCGGCCATGAAGGGGGTCCAGCGGATAAGATTGGGGCGGCGCAGCGAGATGGACGTATTGGAGGCCATGAAGAAACACGCGAGCCACGTTCGCCTAGATTCGACAGTCGTTGGATCAGGTAGTGCTTGGCGCCGCATGGGGTGGCTCTGCCAGTTGTAGAGGCCCGTACCAGGCTGCTTGTTGCCGAAACTCTTACCCAGGCCGATATCGATGGCCATGACGGCGGCGCTGTGGACGAGCTGATAAAACTTGAGCTCTTCAAAGTGCTCTGGTGGCCAGTACCAAACGACGGCCACAAGTAGAGCTTGGACAATTTCGATGCTCTTGTCGCCGCTCAGAAACACCTTGTCCGCAAACACCAACATGACCTCCCGCGACAGGGCCTTTTGCAAATCGTTGTCCTCGGACGCGGCAGCCGCCATGGTGGAGAGGAAAAGGACAGGTTTGTTCTTCCGAAGATCAGAAACAGTCATGCTCGGAGGGTGTACGACGGCAGGGAGGTTCGGCGCCATGCGATCACGATACCGCGCGAACAGCTCGGTCGCCTTCGCCATCGTGAGGATGCCGCGGTCAACAACGTCGCTATCCGGCACCGGCGTGAACGAACTGCTGGCGGCAGTCACAGGAGATTGCCTGTGCTCGTCGTCCGCGCTCGCGCTCCATCTCGCGGGCAGCTTTCGCTTCTGGCCGGCTATGACCATGGGCGGCTGGAATGCCGGGGGTGTCGGATCGACTCGTGCTTGCGGAGGGGCCGCCACCGCTGACCCTCCTCCCGGTGGTGTCACGGACTGGCCATTTGATCTGTCCAGGCTCGCGTGTCTCACGGTGGCCGTCTCGCTTCCCCATGACCTCTCGTGACTTCCGATGCCTCCACTGGCAACCCCCTCCGTCGAAGGAGCCCTATAGTACGAGCTCCCATGGCTCCCTGGTGTCGTGTGCTCGTTCGGCCCACCGCCTGGGCTAACGCTGCTCGCCCCAAGCACGTGTGGTGATGAGGAGACACCCAGCGCAGGAAGGACGGGAATGCCGCCCGCGCGGGCTTGCAGGCTCGCCGTCAAAGCATCAATCTTCCTCTCCAGCTCGGAAACACGGCTGTCCGTCTTCTTCTGCCTCTTGCGCGTCGGCTGCGTGACCACGCACTTGCGCGATGCCTTCTTGCAGCGCTTGCATGGCCCGCCGTCCGGATCCGGATCGCACCGCACCTTCAGCCCACGGCAGGCCTCGCATGCTCTCGAGCGTTTCGGGTCGGCGCCTCCGTCCTGGTCGTCGCCGCTGTGGTGGTCGTCGTCGCCTCTTTGTAGGTCCTGGTCTCTGGTTGCGCCAAGATTAGTGGACGGCGTGTCGGCGTCTGCAAAGCCCGTGGTGCGTCCAGCGATCGAGGATGCTTCGGGGACGGAAGCAACGGGAACGAGGTCGCTTGCTTCGAGTCGCGGATCGAGCTCCATCTTCTTTGGCGTCGAGTGCTAGACTCACGAGTCCAAATTCAGCACCGCGTTGGTTTCTTTTCTACATGAAAATCCCAACCGCTCGTCAATTGACCAAGTCTTGCTGCACATTGCTGCGCAAAGCTCGGAGTTGATTGTCGCCGAGTGCCGGGTTATCGGATGACTAAGCCTCGACGACCTCACACCACAGCCTCCTCTCATCTCTACATCTTCTATTTACCCTTAACAAACAAAAGGACATTAAGATGCTGTGATGAACGGTCCAATCAGGCTCCATTTCCAGGATATGTATCAATAGGTAGCTGACCACCTGAATACGTGGCAACCTCTCGTTATTGTATGTATATGTACAAACTTCGCACCTTCTCCTCCATCGTCTTCCCCTGGGTAGCCAGGCTGATATGGTAGCCCGAACTGCCAGTAAAACGCCTCAATTAAAATATACACTCAACCTCTTTCAGACACGCATTTCGCGGTCTTCTGCCGAATATAGAGCAAGATATCGAAAATAGAAAGAATGAGTAAGAAAACGAGTAAGGATTAGGACAAGAAAAATACACAAGATGGAAATGAAAAAGAATTGCCAAATCATCCGATATAGACATTACGGCTTCGTCGTTATTCCTTAGACGTTATCGATCAGAGGGGACAAGGAATATGTATGCTTGAGGGATATGAAAGGGACCTCATATGGCCCACGACACTATCCCCAGTCCCGTCGTCCCTGTTCATTAATAGAGAAAAAGATATGCATGTCACAATCCTTCTTCAGTCATCAATCCTCATAGGGCATTGACCTCAAGGGCAATAACAAAACAGGAAGGAAATGGTATCATGATGATGTTGTTGCTGAAACAAAAATTAGGGAAGTAGAAACAAAGACAATAGATACTGGAGAAGAAAACCAGCGGTGCGTGCCTTTAGTGACAATTGGGTCGTCTCATTCTAGAACCGCGTCTCTTCCCGGAGACGACTTTTGGAATTTTGAGGTTGTAGCCCAAGCATGTTTCCCATAAACATGACGCTCTCGCGGCGCCTACTGTTTGCAGATGGATCTTGTACAGTCAATCCGCCGGGGCTTGGTTCTTCAACTGGTGATTGTTGAGAGGCTGCACCTCGGTTGGACGAATACAGGTTGTAGGCCTCGGACACAGTTGGTGAGCCGGATGCACTCTCAGTTCCAGGCCTCTGACCTAAGCTCTGAGTCGTAGAGCGTGGAGAATCATGACCTTGACGTCCCAATGGTGGAGTAGGAGTGCCCCTGTGTGAAATGAGCGGCGGGGTTGGGGTTGATCGATTGTTGTGGTAATACGACATGGAATCCAAGCGCGGTTGGCGGTGTGGCGAAGCACTGCCGGATGATGTCGAGGGTCGAGGAGGTGGCGGATCGAATTGGATGGGTGAGTCAACGGGCCTGTTCGACTCGCGATCTGCATTGGCCGATGGGAGCTCATACTCCTCAGGAGCAATACCGAAGATGGGCTCGTAGTTTTGCAAAAACATGGCAAATACTTGCGCCGGGATATTCAACGTCGGTGAAAAGACAATGCCCACGTTGCGCACAGGCATCTTGTTCATATCTGAATTATTGATGATCTTGATCAGGAAAGCAATCAAGTACTTGAGCAGGGTGGCGTTCGCAAGCGGTAACCTCTGCACCAGTTCGCTAAGAGCCGCAACTTTGTCTAACCGGCTGACAAGCTCTGTTGTCCCCAGGAACTCGAGATGTAACTCTCTAGTTAGTATTGTCGACGGCAACTCTCGCAGGTAGAGCTTGAGCAGTGAGGCGACTGCATGGATGTCGTAGAACTGGTCGTCGGTCACCAGATTCACATCACCCTCCACATTAAATCTCTCGCGAAGCCCTTTGATTACAATGCTTGAACCGCTCAGGCGGAAGATGCCCTCTTCAAGAATAGCGTCCTTGTGCTCTAGGAACTGAATACATCTGTAGACAACTGATGGGAGGGGCACGTCCACATCGTGCGGTGGACTGAAACGTACGGCCTCAGCCAATGTAGAACCAAACACCTGGTGTGCTGGTCCATGGTACCCACTACCTGAGGGGGCGGTGGTTGAGAAGCCGTCACCCACGGCAGGAATGGAATCTTGCCCGTCTGAATTGGATCGCGTCTTTGACCCGAAACCGAAAAAGCTTCGCTTCCGTACCTTCTTCTCCTCACTAGTTGGAGCCGTCAAGCCTGTCTTATTGCCCCAGGCCGCAAGGTCCGCAATGGGTTGAGGATCTTTCGGTCCCGATATCAGCTTGGGAGTCATCGAATCGCTGTTGTTATAATGGTGCCCGAGATGGTCGCTAGAAGCACCAGATGTTTTAGGTCTACCACCCAGCTGCGGGACGTCACCATGCTGCGTCGAATCGTATCGGACACCAACCAAAGTATCTGAGTCTTGAGTCTGATGGTGCGACCTTGGTGGCGGCATACTCTTCCTACTCCTAGCCGCATTAGATCTGCTGGTCTGTGCTGGTTCCTCATCTTCGTTTTCACGATAATCAGTCCACTGCAACAGAGCGTTTACCCAAAGATCTCTTTCCTTGTCGTTCTCTGCACATAGAACGTGCTTGACATGGCTATTCAAATCTTTCTTTTTGGGCTCCAGAATTCGAAATGCATGGCGGTAGTTATTGTCCATCTCGTCGCTGTTCGGGCCCCTGGGTGGAGAGTGGTTGTCGCCGCTCTGCGAGTGTCTGACAATTTGTGCATTCTGCAGTCTGATCGTGCCGAGGTGAGCACCACCCGGAGTTTCGTAGTATTTCAACAGGGGGCCATCAAGAAGGAAAAATCTCGATTTCCATCCACCAAAGTTTTTGCCTCGCTTGGTAAGATAGCCACTACGAATAGGTCGCCCATCCGGACCGATCATGTGCGAGCTTCCCTCTCGTGCCCCGCTTCCGGCTCCTAGTTCATCCACATTGGGAGGGAGAGCGTTTCTCGATAGATACTTGCAAAGCTCAAGTGCCGTGTTTGGATCCAAGGGAGTATTCAAAACTTCTTCCATGTAATGTTCCAGTGCTGCGCGCCTAGCGTCCACTTTCGCAGGAGCATGGCCAGAAAACAGAGACTTGTCCGGCGTCCTTGCGGTGAAAGCCGGGCATTGCTTAAGCCGTTGGTCCAATTTTGACAAAGAGGCTGAGTCCTTCTCGAGACGCCATAACTCACTGCGATCAGCACGCGAAATGACAGCCAAGGTAAACACAGGGTCTTCTTCAAGCTGTGTGAGCGAAATCAGACTTGCGCGCGAGGGCTTCATCCGAGATGAGGCGACACGGATTGCAATTGATGGTAAGGCGTTGGGGGCCAATAAAAGATCAGGGAACTCCTCAGTGATCAGGCCTCTGAAGATCTTTGTCCGTTCAGTTGGGGTTGTCACCACCGTGGGGCTCGTGACTCCTTCTTTCGGCGACATCAAGGACTGGTCGATGGAAGCCACTGCCGGTGTTGCGAGCGGTGTGTTCGGAGGCATCGGAATTGGTTGGCGGGGAGGTCGTGGTGACAAGGGACCTGAAGGAAATGTCCCAGCATTCCTAGGAGAGAGTGGCGGAGAGTGCATGGGAGGTCTCACATTGACAGGTCTAGGGCTGAGTGGCAGCCCAGGGCTCATTGCTGGAGATCCTGGGTCGCTGTACTCGTCGGCTTGAAGGACTTCGGCAAGCGACATTGAGCCAGTATGGGGGCGTTGTCCCGGAGCCTGGCGGGGACTAGGAGGGACGGCTTCGGCAGGAGAGTCGGGCTTGCTGGATGAGCTCTTCTTAGAGGCACTTCTTGCTTCGGCCTCCTTTTGGACCCTGAGCCCTCTGTCCAGCTCATCCTCTGCCCGAGTTCGCCTTCGGCCACGATCGTCGCTTCCACTTCCCAGGTCTGCAGATTCTAGAATTTCATCCAGATCCGAATCCGTCTCTTCCTCTTGTACCAGCTCCTTGGTAGACGAGTTCAGCTGGAGTGGAGCAGGAGGTGCCTTTCGTGGTGGCGCTGGAAAGCCAGCTACTCCACCTTCCGATCGAACTCTTGCTTCAATCATCATAGCAGTAGGAGATCCAAGCTTCGTTGATGGGCCTTTGGGAGGGTCCGGAGGCAGGGCGCGGGTAGGTGGCTGTGAGGCATTGAACTGCAAATCCTTGAGGGAATCCTCCTTTTTTAATCTCGGTATTTGATCAGACTTTTCTTCTGTATCTCGGTCAACCCTGCCCGGTGCCCGATCCCTAACCTTGGGCAGAATTCGAGAGGGGTCCTGAAGTCGAGGGGCGTCTGGAGGTGGTGGCATGGCCGATTGGTCTGGTAGGGACGCGGGTGTGATGGGCGTGACCGGGTAGGGAGGGATCATCGAATCGATGGGAGAGAAGGTTTGGCTAGGTGAGTCCAGAGACGACGCCTCAGAGAATCCCATTGACGACTGGTTGACATCGATCCGAGGGACATTGGGCCGAGAGGGGGTCTGTAAATCGTTCGAACTCGTCGGGCTAAAGGCGGCGTTGGCTAGTAGATCCCTCAATTTCAACCTATACTTTTCCTTTTCCTTCAGCGCCCGCTCGAGGTCTTTGTTGAGGCCCAGAATCATGGCCCGTTGCTTGTCTACCAAACGCCATAGCTGGGTGTTCTGTTGCGACTGCGCCTGTCTCTCCTTCAGAAGGGTTTGAATGACTGCCTCTGGGCTGCCTGCCTTGTTCACCAGACTCGAGACATCGGCCGCTCCGTACCCGGAGTCTTGCGAACCATGTTGCTGAGCAGGCCTATTGGACGAGAGGGCGGATATCGCAGAGTCGATGGAGGAAGTTCGAGGTAGCCCAGCAGATTGTGAAATTTCTTGGGCAGTACCCACGGGGCCCGACATGGCCGGCTTTGGTGACTTTTGAGAGTCACTGGCAAGCCTGGGAGCTAGGGGATCGGAAACGATGCGGGAATCATCAGGAGCGGTAGGCGAGGAGCACCTGGAGCCAAACCTTGGGTTAGCGAAATTGGAGGCTGCTGGAGATGCTGTTCAAGGTAAAACACGAACCGTCTGGAATTCTGCGGCTCTGGGCTTGGATCCCTCGACGAGTCGCTGTAAAATGTCGTATGCTCCTCTGGTCCAGAACCAGAATTAGATTGGGTGTTGTCGAAATGTCGCGGACCAAGATTGCCCGTGTTCGAGTGTGGTGGGAGGAAGGAATCTTGACGAGGGCTCGGGCTTGGCGAGGATCTGACAGTCCAGCTACTGGCCGACAGAGGACTTGGGATAGGCGGTCTTTGTGTCCTGAGGGATGCACGATGCGCGCGTCAGTCGACTTGAATGTGTGCAACGGCAAAAAGGGTAGCTGTTTTACGGCAGAAGCGCCGACAGGAGGGACCGGGGTATGTATATTAGAAGGTGGGACAGTTGGGTAAGTTCGGGCGGGTTTTACACAGCGTCAGCCGTTGAAGGGCAGTGGGAGAAGAATGCAAGCTGATTGGTATAATAAGCAACCTCGTGGGTCGAGGAGCATGGCAGGGTGATGAAGGCAGGTGTTTGCTGCATCTAGGTACGGGATGGGGTCTGTCGGATGCGAGCACGGTAGTGCTCCGGAGCGGCAGGAATGCTCACAGGCCCAGAGACAGGGTGTTCCCCTTTGCAAGTCTCACTGGACCAAGCGACACGGGACGGGAAGCGCAGAAGGGGGTGAGGGGATTGGCCAGAGACAAGGCTGCTGTTTCTTACCTGGGACTGTAGGCCGGTGATGCTACAGACAAAGGCACAGGGACATGGACCCGGCGCCTGACAGTGGGACTATCGTCGAGTTTGTTGAAGCCAGAGCCATCGTCAGCGACAGACGAGGCTGGGGGATCGTGATGGGCGAGCCTCGACATGGTCCGGTGCTCTCGTGATCTCCCAGTCGGGGAAGGTGGGCAAGGAGCCAGGGCCTTGCCTTGACCGACCAGTACCTGTCAACTGTCCAATTGCCCAAACGGATGACGGGTTATGCAGCTCTCGCCGCTGAGGCTCCGCGGTACATGGACGAGTGTGTCTGTACAGTCGTACTGGGATGGGCAATGTAAGGGGGAGTAATGAAAAGGGTGGGGGGTGGGAGCGCAAATGGAAATCTTGCCGCCGCCGCTTAAAGTGAATGGGGTGGCTTGAACATTGAAGGGGGGAGGAGAGAGGAGAGAACCCTGGCAAACCGTTCCTAGCCTGCCTCGGATTTGCTTTGTTCTCTATCAAACCCCTTTTCTTGGACGACAGAGGAATTCGCTCCTAGATGAATCGCCTATTCTAGTCTATGCATTCCCCTTTTGAAGAGGACGGCACATGCATGCTGCAGGCGACTCCTACGTTAGTATTGAAGATCACAAGACTTGGCGAAGACGAAACAAGCTATGGAGGGGAGCTGGCCGCTTGGAGCCTGTGCCCCATCATGGATGAGCAGTCTGATGGCGACTCGCAAATTCCTCCCTACTGTTAGAATGCACTGCTATTGCCTCCAGAGTGGTGATCGAGACGCTTGCAGGGATTTTGTATGGTCCCACGATGGCTTTTGATCCCAACCCGCGCGCTTCCTCTCCGTATACAGACTGGGAGTTATTATGCGGTTAACAGCGTGCATATAGGGACCACCGGAGGTACATCAGGCTGGCCCAAGATAGTAGTAGTGTGGTCGTACCTGGGCAGGATCATATAATAACCCTACCTAAGGCTGTGGTAGCGTCCACTGCGCTATGTTCTTAGGCGACCTTAGATCACAGGCCCTCCAGACATTAGATGGTTTCAAGGGCTGACAAGTTCAGTGACGAACCCCTCGTCGGTCAGCCAGTTCGCTGCGCGCTCCAATCCGGCTCAGCAAACTTGGGGCAGCGAAAAAAGTACATCCACCGTGCTCTGCTGATCCTATCTCCAAGACACGCAACAACCCTGAGCTTCACCACATCCTGCCGTCCCGCAAGGACCGAAGTACGCGGTGGGTAATGTGCCTGCATGGCACTTAAGCCCCCGGCCCAGAACCCACTGTTATTACAGTGGGTTGCAGTTCGCTCAGAGGTGTCATGCACGCTCATTAGCTTCTTCTCCCTATAGCCAATCAACTCCTCTGCAAGAGAAAAAAGGGTCGCCGAATTGCAACTTCATTTTAATTAACCGCCACTCTGTCGGCATTGATACAAACCGACACCTAAGGTATTCAACAGCAAAACCTCCAGATCGCTAGCTCAATGTCTCGAATCACCGTCTCCGGGGTCCCCTCAGAGTCCCCTGAGTGGGTGCAGGAAAGGCCACAGCCAAGGTGGCATCAGACCAGGGAGGCGTCAAACTTTACCATGGTCAATGGAAACTTGGTTAGGGGGGAGACTGAGCATTGATCCCCAGGAGATCTGAGCTGCGAGAGTCCCTCGAACCCACCGTTGCACTGCTGCAGCTTTTAATTTGATCGGGGCCGGCCCAGGGGCCCCAGTCGAGACAATGCTGGAATGGTGCGGTTCAGGGTCCCATCCGACACTGCCAAACCAAGAAAATCTTGGAGCCATGCCGGCTTCTCCCATGCAGGAACCTGGCTTGGCCATCGCGTTTTCGTATCTACCCTAAGGGCCCAAGCACTGACTCGGTCGCGCGCTCTCCCAAAATCTGATAGCAAACCCTCCGTTTCGGCAAATTCCTCTCTGAATTATACTGATCGCCACAGGTGCCCCGGATTTTATTAATTGACCTGTCCTCGAGGGACCCGGCGGTTCAGGGTTCACCCGAGAAGGGTAGCGATGTGACGTCTCCGTGGTGTTGATAATATGATACGCTGCCCCGCGATGGTAGCATTTCTGCTGGTACTGCAGAATCGCCACTGCAGTCCACGAGGAAATTATGCTCCGAGCTGCAAGATGGCTTGACGAGTGCAGGGTTTCCCGGTTCACCACCAATCATGAAGACCAGAAGCTCCATTTTCCCATTGTGCCATCCATCGATGTCCCCTATCTCCCAGGATTTTCACATTTGACAGCTGTGCGCACGTCCGGCATTGCTCGCCCCACAACGAGACACCACGTATCTGTGCCCAGTTTCTTCCTTCTACTTCTGTAGGTGATGTGCAGCAGTGTGATACTACCTACTTGCAAAGAAACTTGGATTGAAACAAAGATTTCTCGGGCAAACGGGTCCAATTCAGGAGAAAACGTGCATCCCGCGAGTTGATAGGCCCTACCGTACACTAGGCGACCTTCCTGCATGCATGTACTGCCTGTTGCTGTTTACATGCCTGCATGCATTTACATGAGCAGTCAAGTCACTGTTGCCAACTGTCAGCATGCATTATGACTAGTCACGGCAATAACACATCAAACACATGGCACTAGCTCCATATAATGATGGTCAGATAATGCAAAGAAAATTTTGAGGCAAAGGGGAGATTGGTCGAGCGACTACTATTCCGCCGGTTCGAAGACGAAGAGCACGTGCCTTCTTGTAAATAGGTATGCTGCTAGATGCCGCAACACGCGCCGTTACATTGACGCCCAGAAAGTTGGAATACTCAACCCAGACTGCCAACCAACAACTATGCCATTACTACCTTATTGATTAGGAAGACAATAGTTGCTAGTAGTATGTCAATATCATTTGCCTTTCTTTAGACTAATGCAGGACTATATAGTAGCATTTATTGCGACATTTGTGATACGCTCTAAACTACCACAGAAGCCACTTATCAACCTCCATGATCCCTGATAGCTCTGTGAACTAAGTTTTTCAGAGCAGGTAGTAGGAATTCTCTCACACAAGCCGCTTTCTAACTAAGACCTATTTAATAGACAACGTTGCATTCGTGACATTTTCCCTTTTGGTTTTCTCTTAGCTTTTCAGGATTATCAACTGATTCGGTTGCAATTGTACGGCCCCTCCGGACTCGGTCGGGCCGTCACGACGGCACCCGGACCTGGTTCGTTCCAAGCTGAGGGTGGCCTTCGGCTGGCCACGGCGATGGCAGTTCTCTCATCTACAATAGCATGATTCATGCCACATGCTCGAACGGTTGGCGTATGCATCATTGGTTCTTTCCATCCGAGCAGGTGCGCGCTCGTTTGTGTCTCGGGGATTGACGGCATTGATTGCGCTGGCCGGCACCGAGCTTCCACGGCGGTTCCAGAAAGCCAAGGGCCACCTCGCCTCCCAATCATAGACGGGTTGGATGGATCCGAGGCCATCTACTGCCTAATCAGAGCCCGCAAGCAAGATTTTGCAATGGCATCAGCGCCCAACTGGGGAGACATGCTCAGCCCTGCACAACATTCATGCAGGACTCCGTCATGTGGCTGGGCCGGTGACTTAGGTAAGCAAAAGTGTCTGGAACAGCAGTGAGGTGCCTTGAGTTTCGGGGCTTTCTTTGACTCCTCGTAGCCAGTAAGCTGTCGGGAGACCCATCGGCCACCCACCCACCAACGGCCCCGCAATTGACCCAAATCTTGGTCATTCGGCGTTGGGTGCAAACGTCATATGGCAGTGCAAAGCCCAGGCAATCAATGCGCCATCCTCAGCTGTCCTGCCTTCTCTATTCCCTCATCTCCTCACTTCTGCTGCTTCTTTTTCCGTGCCCAACAACCCAATAAATTGGCATCGCCTGCGTCATTTTGTGACTTCAGCGTATACATATAAACCTTACCGCATAGCTGCCGTTCACCTTAGCCCCTCCTGCTAGGTATATCACCAAACACCCAAGCCAGACACAGCCCGCCGCCATCTACATAGCACGCCGGTTCATTTATCCCTGATACACAGACCTATCACGCCTTCGCCATGCGTTAGTATCCCTGTATCACACGTGTCTTCTCTCTCGTTTGCTGTGCTAACTCCAATCCACTCGTAGCTACCAACTATGGAGTCAAGAAGCGACTCTATCTCTCCCACCCGGAGCCTGACGTCGCAGTCGTCCGCAAGAGCGTCACCCGTTTCATACCGCCCGAGAGGAAACCTTCCCCCCCTCCCAGGATCGTGAGGCCAGCTCCTCTACCACCACCGCCGCCGCCAGTCCAGAAGCCCGCCCCGCTTCCACCTCCACCTCCCCCGGTGGTAGCTCCCCCAGTGTTCGTCCTCCCACCACCGCCGCCACCCCCTCCTCCGCCTCCTCCTCCCCAGCCAAAGCCTGAGAAGATCGAAATCGATGTCATCTCCGTCGACGTGGATCCTCCCACGCCGAGGAGGAAGAGAAGCCGCTCCCGCAGCAAGCGCAGATCCCCGCGAGAGTCCCGGGAGCTCGAGAGGGTCATCGAGAGAGACCACTTCATCCCCGTGCCGTACCCCGTCGAGGTCGAGCCCCAGTATGACACTTTCCGCTACGTAGAAGGGCCGAGACGGTACGAGCCTTCCCCGTCGCCGCCACCGCCGCCCAGGAGGGCGATAGAGGAAGACACGCGGATAAGAATCTCGGACCGCGAGAGGTTCCGTGAGCGGTACGAGTCTTCTCCATCCCCGCCACCGCCGCCCAGGAGGGCGATAGAGGAAGACACGCGGATAAGACTCTCGGACCGCGAAAGGTTCCGCGATCGCCGTGAGCGCTGGTAGCGGATGCGACCCCTGCAAGAGGACGGCTGCTCCTAATGGTTGAACCTATTAATGATGATGATTTGATATGAATGGCTCTGGCGTTTTGCGGTTGTGTTTTGTTGATTTTGCTGCCGCGTGCAAATTTGTATTTCTGAACATGAACTTTTTTGGTTAAATGGTCACTGTGTTTTGTATAAACGTGGAAAGAAGATTATATGAAGTAAAGCATGCACACCAGTCTCTGAGCGTACAATTATTCATCGAAAGTCTATGGTGTACTTTAAAGTTAAAGCAGTCTGTATCAGGTGTATACGACATCAGAAGTCAATCATTTAAGTCTTCCATCTTGAAGTAGTACTTGTCTTGTACAATTGATTCTAACAGGATGCAATTTCGTCCTAGTATCAAAACAGAAAAGAAGAACCAGAACCATTCAAGCAAAACTTCCAAAAAATCACTTCAATTACAACACCATGCCCCCTTTTTGTAGAAGGAAAACAACGAACGCTCCAAACAAGTGCAATGAAATGAAAGAACCTTCTGCAAATGAGCCGGGAAGAAAATGAAAATGAAAAGCAAAATATAGGTAAGCAAAGAGCGCACAGAAAGTAAATGCCCCTAGTTCGCCGAGGAAATGCAGAAGTGAAGAGAGCAGAATGAAGGAGAAAAACAAAGCGCCTGGTGCCATGCTTTTTGCCGCGTTCCCAAAACCAAAACTATAGCGGCAACAGAAAAAGCTCGAGAATGTTGATTATTATCCATTACAGCAGGCGATGCAGCCATTCATGATAAAGATGTTGTTTCCAGCGTTGTGGTTGACCACTTACCACTATCATATGCATCGTATGAGCTCAAGGTCCTCGAGAGTCGAAAGAAACGAGCAGTGGGAACCGGAATCCCAGAAAACTTCTTTTTGGCCCTATGCGACGATTCTTGAAAGGGTGTCGTTTGCCAAAAGCGTCTCGAGTGCAGCATCATCGGGGATAACACTTCCCGTCCAGGAGTATGACCGCTCCCGTAACTGTCGATATTCGATCTGGTCGGCCAATATTTTGGGCATCCAAACCATCCATTCCTGTGAAGCCAGTTGGTGGACAAAGTGAGGTCGCGCGAGAAGCCAGAAGAGAGTCGCGTCGAATATGCCGCCCATGGCCAGCCTGAAGGGCTTCATAAGCTCCTGCGAACTCTGGCCATACATAATATCCAGAGCACCGTAGAGATGATTGGGGCCGAAATCAAACCACCAAATATTCTGGCCCTCGTGATCCAGGACCCGTGATGTAATCATTCTAGCAAGGTCGTTGGCCGTGTTTTCGATGACTCGGAGAATGTGGGCGACCATGCCTTTCACTCGCAGATATACTGCAGCACAGTAGACGAGGGCACATCTTGAAAGGTGGGCCGGGTCTGATGGCTCCGACTCGTCACATATTTCAATTCCTACAGAGTGTGAGAATACATTTGCAAACAAGAAGGTTGAGAATTCTTCACTCACGCTGCGTGTACATGAATCTCAAGCAGTAGGCGGCAGTTTCAGGGGCGCATGTCAGAGTGATGTCAACCATAGAGCCGTCCTTTCAACAACAAGCTAATCAGCACAGTTTTCTTTTTATAGTTATTGAGATTGGGGGCAATGCCATTTGCAAACTTGCTCACCTCGTTGGCAGGGGGGAGGTTGTCCCGGAACCACCCAGACTGGGCAGTGACAATGTCTCGATGGACCATGAAAGACATGGTCGAAGTAACCACCCTGACATCTGCACCGAATGGATGTACCCATAGACTGTTCAATCAATTCTATTAGTATTCCGTCTGCTTAGAGAATTCATAGGGATGGGTAGAGAGTTGGTAAACAGGGGGCGTACTTTTCTGTTACTCTAGGCACGGCAGCCTGGAGTACTGCCTGGGAGCCATTGGAACTTGTCGAGTCCGACCGGTGAGTCCTACTCGCGCTGGTTTCCGGCTGGGCCGAGCTCGCAGAATGTGTCGAGGCAATAGATAGAGGCGGGGGGGATTTACACTCCTCCTGGCCACCATCAACCTTCCAGGCAGTGCCGGGAAGGGGAGGGTCTTCGGAGAACAAGTCCAATGGTACTGGTTTCGGCTTGGGAGCTTTGCTTGCCGTCTGCCAAGGGTTGACTTTAGGCGGAGAAGCGGGCCGTAGGCTATTGCTACCAGGCTCTGGCTTGATGGGAGCGGCGGGTGCTGGAGAAGGCGATGGCACGGATGAAACAAATGACGATGGAGGGAGGCCCATCGGCTTCCAGCTTCTGCTGTCTTTCGATGAACCCTTCATGATGAATAGCGAATGAGCGTAGGGTGAGGCGGGACAAGTTCGGTGAATGGGCGACTGTGTGCCTTTCCTAGTGTTGTTGTTAAAAGCAGCTAATGGAAGCAGGCGAGAGCTGACCAAGGCGGTAGGTTTGTAAGCTTGGGGTGTGGCGAGTAAGGGTAATCCTGGAATGATTATAGAAGGGATACGAGAAGCTAATATCTGCAGCTACCGCGGCACAGAAGCTGGGTTGCAAGAGAGAAAGTCAAGGTCGGGCGCGGGTTGCATGACGCTCCGTGCATGACGATGAATCAGAGAGCATGGAGGGAGGTCAGTTATTTGTAGGTACGAAGCATCAGGTCAAAGTCCCCACGGTTGGTGGTGGCGTTCGGTCCGAGGTGAGGTGGATGTGAGCTGGAAGTGAGTGGGAGATGTGGTGAGCTGTGTAACCGCCAGCAGCCCAGTCGCAGGTGAGGAGAAGGTGTTGCAAGCGTTCACAGGGACTATGTGGTCATACAAAGCTCATAGATATATGGGTGGTGCCGCATGGGGAACGGAGCACAAGAGAAGAGGGGCAGGGATGGCAGCTGGGGGATTGGGTTGGGTCTGGTCGAGTTTGGTCTGGTCTCGAGACTTAATATAGTAGAGGCTGAGTGACGAATGAGTCGAAAAGGGGATACTGCATCGGCAGGCAGGAGAGGGGACCAGAGGAGAGCACAACGGGCCGTACGGAGCATGTGCCCAGGGACGTGGAGCAGAGTGGGAAAAGTAAGCAAGCCATCGACCTACCGAGAGCTAGAGTACGTGGATATTGAGTGAAATAACAGGCAGTCATGCTTGCCGGATGGCTGGCTGGCAGGCTAGATCGATGGCTGGGTCCGGGGGCGTGTGGTGTATGTAGCAGACGTGCCGCGACTGATGCATTCATGGGTGTCGTATGTAAAGTATGCAAGTCTGTCGCCAGTGGTGCTGGTGGCGCGTTAACTCAGGACCTACGACGCACGACTGCGACCGACCTCCACATAATACCTCCCTGCTATAGCCATAACGCCTTGCCTTGCCTTGCCATGCCATGCCATGCCCTGCCCTGGACGGCCTCGGGTAGCATCTCATTGACGCCCAGGCATACACGCAAATAGGTCAATGGCGGGCGAGCGAGGTGGCAGTGGTTGGTTTAGCAATAATGCAGGCACGTGTGGATACATTGACATCTTACCGGTCCTGGAGCCCCGGATAATATGGACGGTGCTAGCAGGTGGTGTCGATGTGTGTGCCCCTCCTCTACTAAGATCCGAGCTGTGCCTAGTTGGGAGGCCAGCCAGTGTTATCGGAGATATGTAGCGCACATCACCCGCCGTCCCTTACTTGCCACGCAACTGGGCAAAGCGAGAGGTCTTACGGAGAGAACAGCCCACGGCGCGTGTTCTCAGCCTCGAGCAGGGGAGAGCATAGCATTGTCAATCTCGACTATCTCCATAATTCATTTCAGGCGAGCTATCGAGCTGTGGAGGTATCCAGGCGATCGTCTTCCCGTGACAGGACATGGATCGATGTTACGCATGTGGCCCTTGAACATAGCCAGATGCTTGCGTTCATCAAGCAGAAATCTGGCAGGCAAAGCGCCAATCGGAGACTGCGACGTATTCCAGGCTCAGGAACAACTCACTGCGCTGCCTGCGGATTGTTTGATGCACGCCACCAGGAGGCGGAAGACCGATCAAGCCCCATGTATTCAGCTCAGCCTCTGGGCGTTTCTTTGCTTTGCTTAGTCTAGCCCGGCACTGCTTTGCTTTGTCCTGCTGCCAACTTGCTTGCTTTGCTTTGCTTTCCTCTCGCCAGCCAAGGGCCAAGCAAAGCACAGCGCTTGGAAACCCCATGACTGCGTACAGGGGAGTGATGGCCGCTAAAGACGGCCACCCGGCGCGCTCCGCATCACGGATCCGCACGTCGTTCTCGGGAGCAGCAGGCATTAACCTCCAAAGATAGTTGATGCGTGCCTGGCTCGGGTAAATGTGTTCCATAGGTAGGTAGGTACTGTACAATAATACTTGCCAACCTACCCCCTTGGGCAACGGAGGGCAGCTCATCAGGGTGTGGGAAACCGTACCTTACATGTCACCCCGACCAACCAACCGGCCAGCCAGATTCCGTCACCCAATCTCCGATCGGGTTTACCATGCCCCTCCTCCACTCTCATTCCTCGCCATGGAGAGATGCTATTTCGGCGTAAGCAGTGAATGTCAACAGCACGCAGTGGCATGCCCAGCTACGTAGCTTGCGAGATAACCCTTATCGAGGAACGTCACAAGGTTGGCCAAATTTAGGGCCTAGCGCCTGGCAACTCGCTGAGTAAGGGCACTCCAGCTCTTTGGTTGGCCCAGCCAGCAGGTGTTCTGCTGATGCCATTTTGGACAAATCGGTACTTGCCAGAGAGTTCCATTACGTGACTTTGTCAGCCAAATCGGCTCCTGCACTTCTTTCATCAGAACATCACCCACGACGCCGGCAATTATCAGAAGCAACCAACACCACCAGCATTCTGTACAGCGCCGCCATACAGCCGACAGCATGTCTGAAGGTCCCATCTCTATTAGCTCCCCGGAGCAGTTCAACAGCCTTTTGAAATCCTCCAAGATTGTTGTCGCCGACTGTAAGTTGCCTCTCTGCCCCGCCATGCAAGGTCCCCTCCCCGCCCAATCCCTCGCATGCAAACCCAAACCCCTTCATAGAGGTCAAACATGGCTAATATTTCTCTTGTCAATGCCGTTAGTCTATGCCGACTGGTGTGGTCCTTGCAAGCAAATTGCGCCACTCTACGAACAACTCGCCAAGTCGCTGTCCCGCCCCAACGCCGTGACTTTTGTCAAGATCAACAGCGATGAGCAAACCGAAATCTCCAAGGAATATGGCGTCTCAGCTCTACCCACATTCCTCGTCTTCAAAAACGGGAAATTAGAGGATACAGTCAAGGGAGCGAACCCCCAACAGCTGTCCGCGATTGTCAGCAAGCTTATTCAGGAAGCCGGACCTAGCAGCGAGACCTGGCGCGGCGCCGAGATTCCTCGAGGCTACAGCGACATCACAGATCAGATTGAGCGCAGGAACATTGAGCTTTTGAATGCAGATGAGGATGCTGGTCCGGTCAAGGTTCTGTTCGAAGAATCGAAACCGAGTGTGCTTGACAAGGAAAAGACCCCCAGCAAGGACTATGTGCAGAGTGGTGCTGATGACCAGTTGCTTCTCTTTATTCCTTTCGGGTCTTCGGTCAAGCTACATACTCTCCAGGTTGGTACGCAGTGTTTCTTTCCACCAGCGTGTATACTGACTTGCATCTTCTCAGTTAACTTCTATAATCCCCGAGGGAGAAGATGACGCTCCTGCTCGACCCGGCACGATTCATTTATTCATCAACAGGCCGCAGAACATGGACTTCAGCGAGGCTGATAGCACCGACCCAACGCAAGCCATAGAAATTCAGCCCGAGGACTGGAACAGCGACGGGACAGTCAGCATCGGACTGCGTTACGTTAAATTCCAGAAGACAAACTCGCTCATCATCTATGTCAAGGAGGGCGATGGAGAGGCAGAGACCGTACGACTTGACCGTGTCAAACTCATCGGCGAGGCAGGGCCCAAGAGGGAATTGGGGAAGCTCCAAAAGATCAGCGACGACGAGTAGGTATGTCGTCCTTAAGTAGGGGGTTCTCTGCGGAATAGAAAAAACGCAACGCAAGACCTGTTTCGCTTAATGCATGGGAAATACAATGTATAGATGGTCTTGCGCAATGGCGCCACATGCTTTCATGCATAATAGCTAGCGACGGAGTTTTCCTGATCAGGCGATATCATAATAATAGGCAAACATCACAAGCATTCATGAGCCCTCGAATGGGTTTTCACGCTGTTGTGCATGCATTAAACCCGGGGAGAGTGTCTGTTCAGGGGAACGCGCCGAAGTTGGACTGGCCAACCCTTTGGAAGGTTCAAAAGACTCCAAGTCTACGTCCCCATTCCTCCAAGTACAATCCTAATTCTTCATTCAATATGTCCGGTCAAATCATCGTACCCAAGTGCGTTCAAGTACACGAGAGCAGTGATGAAACAACCAGCGTGCAATTAAAAATTGATCTAGAGCATAACTGACGCTGCGATTGTATCCATTGTAAGAGGGACTCGAGCAACACGGGTAGGTAAAATTCAGGTTATGCACGCCGCACGAAGAAGAAAAGAAGAAAAAAACGAAACGAGAATCCGCGTCGCTGAAAATTTATTTGCTTGGTCGGTGGAGCGCATGCTTAGTCAGATCCAAGGCTCTCCACGGAACAAATCTCTGATTGGATGACATTCAACCTCATTTAGAGTACCACCACCAACGACATTGACAACTGCAATCCATGAGTGGATGTGTTTTTTTTTTACGTTGTTATTTCACAATTCAAGGGCAGATGGTTTTACGCATAAGACACTCAGTTCAACTTCTCACTGAAGCTTACTCACGCCGAGGAAGTATTCTCAACGCCCAATAGACATCCTCTTGGCAGATTGGGGTGATTTCTCATAATCAAACGCAATGAGTCCATGCGCTACCCCGTGAGGTCGCGCACCGTTTACCAAACTACCGCTCAGTTCATTCTTGGCACGATATATCTTATTCACCATCAAGCAGCGTGCAGTTCCAACGGCGACGGAGAGGTGAGAGCAAGGTTTCTTCTGTTTAGTCAGCAAAGGCTACTGCACAAGCAGCTCTTACAACGAGCCAACACTAGCCCCGAAGCTAATGAAACCTTAGCGCCTGGTCTGTTCGTTGAAAATGAATAGAGGTGCCGCCATTTGCGATCCGGCATCACTTTCAATTAAAGATCCCTATTGGTAGCCATGTCGAGAATTCGCCCGGTCGAGAAGAAGCTCCGACAAGCAAATGATGCCTTCTCGATCGTAGATGCCCTGAGTCGATATTATTGCTGCAACACTACTTCACCATGAACCATCTCCCGATGTTGGCGCCACGGCTGCCAGGCCACTCCCCGCCAGCCAGCTTGCCCCCAGCATCGAAGGAGCACACGGAATTGGAGTGGGAATCAAAAAAATCCATCATTAAGCATCTCTACATAGACGAAAGTCGTAAGTTGAACGAAGTCATGGCTATTCTTGAAAAGAAGCATGGCTTCGCCGCAACGTGAGTGGTGCCTGTGCCTTCAACACCAACAACTCCTCCCAGGATGATCTGGTGATCTGAGTTTGGCTGACCTGGAATTACTATTGGAGTGAGCAAATGTTCAAAAAACGACTGCGGAAGTGGAATTTCCGCAAAAGAACGTATCGGAAGCACTCACATGTTGCGTTTCCCGTCACACCTCTCCAGCGAGAAGAGGAAGATGACGATGCAGAGGACATTCCCAGAGACTCTTTGCAGGAAATCACAGCCCTTACTTGTCTTCAACCTTCACCCCTGGAGTGTCACGCCAGGCTTGAGGTCATCCTTGGAAGCGTACTGTCTTGGAGCTCTGAGAAGCTTGACACATACCAGATACAGTCGGACCAAATGTCCAAATACCTGGCGCACCCCAACCAGCCACCTATTGAGGATAGCCGGACCATGTATCGAACATTTGAACTGTTTTTTGATATGTGGAAATATGGGAAAGGTAACTTGGCCGGCCTGGCAGCAAGGAAGGGGTTCTACATTCTCGAATATGTGTTGACTGTGGACCATCCGGACTTGATCTGGCATATGCTTGATATCATTTACGACATGATACAAAAGAATCACATCCAGTTACTGGGGATGTTCCTTGGCCATGCCACCGCTCTTGCAGAGGCCAGGCTACCTCAACAGCATCCCCTTGTTAGAATTCTCCACCAGCTTCGCAGGTGTGACTTTCAGACCGAGGAAGGGCGCCAGCACGCGACACATGTTCTACGGCAGGCTTGGTTACGGAATGTTGATTTATTGGGCGATCGTGTCAGCTCGCCGCCCTCTGATAGCCTATGGCTCTATGAGCAGCTGATATGGGATGCGCGAACAAACCTACGGAGAGAGAGCAACCTGGCAAGAAAAGGCGAGGCCATGACTAACGCACTGGAGGCGCTCGCGCTGAGTCGGGAATCCGGGCCTGGCGATGAATCAAATGCATCGGACTCACTGAGGGTGGCCGCCCTCATGCTGGAGTTTGCCCAGATGGATTTGCAAAATAAGGAGAAGGCAAAGGAGCTGGCCGTCTCACTCCTAGAGAGCACCCAGGACTCGGAAACCTGTACCGGAGCCAGATTTCATGCGTATGCGCGGAAGATGCTCGCCAGGATACAGCAGGGCAGATGCGAGTGGGATTCGGCCGAGGAGAACCTGAAAATGGCCATCCGAAAGCGCGAGGCTGCTCACGGCACAGACAGCGACATCCGAGTTGTGCGCGACATGTGGGTTCTTGCTGACCATTACCGACGAGCCGGCAAACCAGAGGTCGCTGACCTTGTCATTGATGATGCGCTTTCTCGGGCACAGAGATATTTGGAGGGTAATGATTTAATAAGAGTTAAAGAGATAGGATCTACAACTATATAGTATACTATTGGACGGGGCTGGTGCGTCGTTTTCCTGGGTTCTTGGTTTGCATTGTTGGTGGGATGGAGTCTTATTATATCTACCGCAACGTAGCAGTCACAACGCGCTGGCGCTGTTGGTAATAGTGTACTTGCATGGATGCGTACAAATAAAAATAAAGATTACTAGGAGTGATATGTAGAGATTGTTAAATGAAAATTGAATATTGTGTGGTGATTATGAACTGCTCAAGGGTAGGTGTTCAACTGGATGACATTCCAATTGATACACATATTCAAACATCATGCAGCTGTGATCGAGTTTGTGATTAGTATTGTCATTTATTGACAGCCAATGACAAGTTTTCAACCCGGATTGTTTCATATTAGTGCTCTGGTCAAGACTGCCGCTCGATTCATTCTGGACCCGGTTGGTGTTGCTGAACTAGCAACGTGGCGCAGGCGTGCCGTTCAAGCCACGTGGTGTGGCCACACATGACGTTGATGAGTGTACTCGCCTGCCTTGATTCCACCTCTTTGGCGCAGCCTTCTCATGATCTCACTGATCTGTCCACTCACGCACACCCTTTGGTTCATTATCTCGTAACTGGATATCATACCCTTTCTTTTCCCTAAAGTTTTGTAAACAATAGTCCCTGACTACCTATACATTCCAACACCATGGCTTCAGGAACCCCTCCACCCAATTACTGTAAGACAATACCAGCTATCTGCAGGGGTACCGCATCACAATGCCACTTATACCGGTGCTGACAGCCAGCCTACAGACGGGATTCTGGAAGTCTCAGAGACCGCAACTACACAGCAGATTCGCGATGCATACAAACGGTAAGTTATGATTTAAACCGTTGGGAATCACACCTACGCGACATCACACTTCTTCAGTCAAACCCCAAGTAGTAGGGCGGGGTCTTTTTGAAGTCACTGGCTGAAACCGAGTTATAGCGCTGCATTGAAGACTCACCCAGACAGAGTCGGCTCAGACTCCCCTGAGCGGGCAGAGAGGACACGAAAGTTCCAGCTCGTCAATGATGCCTACTATACCCTTTCTGAACCCGCCAGGCGTCGTGACTACGACGCCCAGCGCAAGCTCTTCAACACATCTACCTCATCAACGGCTGATCCCTTCGAGGATCCCGCCGAAGAGGTGCCGCAGGGAGAAGGCCAGAACGGATTTTCTTGGGCATGGAACTACTTTACGAATCAGAGTGGGGCAGAGCGGCAGCGAACGGAGGACGCCCAGTTCGGCAATGTGTTCGAGGAGATGATGCGTGAGGAGGGCATGGCCGAGGAGGGCACTAATAGGCCAACGAGCAAGTTCTGGAGCGTCATTGGTGGAATGAGCGGCGGAGCCCTTGGCTTCATTGTCGCCAACGTACCTGGACTGGTAGCTGGTGCAGTTGCTGGAAACAGACTCGGGGCCGTTCGGGATGCGAAGGGGAAGAGTGTCGCAGCCGTTTTCCAAGTACGAATATCTCTGGGTTCTCCTCCCTTGTCCACTATTCGAAGAATGTCGCTGTACTAACCGCGCCACAGGAGCTTCCACAGGATGATAGAGCTAGGCTCCTTAGCCAGCTTGCTGCGAGGGTTTTCAGCCATGCAGTTGGAATTTGAAGAAATAAAGTTGTAACTTTGGCCTTGTGTACTTTCTAGTTTTTCGTTAAGAACGGGGAAGAGACTCTCCCTCCAATTAATAAGCATGTTAAGTCTTTATAAACATATATTTCTAACCTGAGAACTGGTTTATCGTGCTTGAGCACCCCTCAACTGATTTATTTGGTGGTTCCAAAGCAAGGAGCTGGTAATACAAGACCGGATATTAGGTATCGTAACTGATCAAATAGAATAATAGTATCATAACATAGCAGCATTGTTTGAAAGGTTGTCCTTGAGGCTTTTTTGAGAGTTAACACTTAGATTTCTAGCTCCAGGCGCGGCATGAAGGTTTCACATACATTTTCATCCCTCTCTAGACCCTGCAGTTCTTTAATGCCCTTCACAAAGCCCATATCATCCAAAGCCATCATGAATTTATCGTCGTCCAGGAGGGTTAAATCCAGGGGGTGGTGGACCGCCAGGGTTGAAACCAGGAGGAGCACCAGGGAATCCACCTGGAGCAGGAGGGAAGTTACCGCCAGGGAAACCGGGGGGAGGGCCTGCAACAATCAGCTTCTGTATCATGAGTTGGGTATTAGTATATCTTACCACCTCGCCCAGCACCGGGGAAGCCTGGTGCTCCAGGGAAGCTTGGGAAACCGGGAGGAGGACCTCCAAGGCCGGCAGCGGGTCCCTAGTCATCGTTAGCTTCGAGTAAACATACGGTAAGGCCAAGATGAAGGGTTCATACAGCGAGAGACGGAGGGGCGGCACCACGACCAGCGGGTTTGGCCACACCGGGACCAGCAGCCAAAGCGGAGCTGATACCGCCTGGCTGGCTCTTTCCTAGCCGAGCGCTTGGGTCTGCAGGAGGAGGCGACTCGACGGATAGAGAGACGATGTGCGCACCACGAACGATTGTCAGTCCAAGGGTTCGCTTCTCCTCAGTTTCGACCGTCTGTCCACTGCTGGCGCCGGGTGCTGATGACTTGTTCTGTCGTCGTTTGACGCGGCGGAACTCTTCGGTATCGGCGAGAACTAAGTTCATGTGCTATTAAACCAGGTCAGCTGGGACTTTGCCAACGCGTTTTCGAAGCTTCGCACCTTGTCAAAAGCCAACATCTGACCAGTCATGGAGCGGCCATCGTTGAGAGTGACGCGCATCCGCCAGTTAATCTGCAAATCCCGAGTCAATTAGGCGGACTGTTCATCGATCAATGTAGGACTGAAGGTGAGAGGGAGGGAGAGTCGGTGAGGATGGGATACGTACGTAACCGGCCTGTAGGAATAGTTAGCAAAGTGGTCTATAAAGAAACAAATAGCAACATGGGGAGGGTTCGACTTGCCATCTTTCCTTGTTTGTTCGACATCCTGGCGGTCGTATGTATGAGATTGCTATGCAGCTTCTCGTTTTCAAAAAATTGGTTTCCTATCAACAGCCTCTACGCGACCGTGACTGGGACCTTCAAAAGATATGCGATTGAAGGTTATGATGAGGTCCAAAATTTGCGGAGCCTAATGCGAAAGGCGGAGATACAAGCAGGATGTACCTTCAAATTGCGCTAATACACTTTTGGAATGATGCACCCCGCTTTTTCACCGAACAAGTGTGAGGGCAGAGAAACCCTCGAATTTTTCTATGCTTCACAAAATCCTGCCCACCCTCACAAGTCAACTTCGTTCAACGACCATCAACAACCCACGTCGTCGACTAACACCGCAGAAATGGCCGCCGAAAAGACCAGCAACCCCATGAGGGAGCTCAAGGTTCAGAAGCTCGTTCTGAACATCTCCGTCGGTGAATCTGGTGACAGGCTCACCCGTGCCGCCAAGGTGCTCGAGCAGCTTTCTGGTCAGACTCCCGTCTACAGTACGTCGTAACATTCTGAACAGTGATTTTATTCCTCGTGTCTAATCCATAAAATAGGCAAGGCCCGTTACACTGTCCGTACCTTCGGTATCCGTCGTAACGAAAAGATCTCCGTCCACGTTACCGTCCGTGGCCCCAAGGTACGAAATTGATTTTCCGTTGGCAATATTTGCACACAACTAAAGGACAATTGCCTAACCATCGAACAGGCCGAGGAAATTCTCGAGCGTGGTCTCAAGGTCAAGGAGTACGAGCTCCGCAAGCGCAACTTCTCTGAGACCGGCAACTTCGGCTTCGGTATCAGCGAACACATCGATCTTGGTATCAAGTACGACCCCTCCATCGGTATCTACGGCATGGACTTCTACTGCTGCATGACTCGTCCCGGTGAGCGTGTTACTCGCCGCCGCCGCATGAAGTCTCGCATCGGTGCCAGCCACCGCATCAAGCGCGATGAGACCGTCAAGTGGTTCAAGCAGCGCTTCGAGGGCATTGTCCGGTAAACGGACTATTTTGTTTGTCTTTGAGGGATGGTTATGGCGAATGTTTAGGGGAAAAAAGGGTTAACACGGTCATGTATTTCCTGCTTTGCATCAGCTCGAACCGAAATCGAGTCGAGCTACGGCCTCAGAGACCGACCGGCGCCCATGCCGGCTTCCGTACAAATCCATCTTGAATGTGATGCACGTCAACTACAACTTCGCCAGCAGCCATTTCGCGCTGGCAGAGGTAGTTTCTTTCCACCATATGACTCGCCTCAATTGACACTCGCAAGTGCCTTGACATATTGTTGGCTTCTCAATGATTGAGGAGATTTACTCCAGTGGCCCACGCTCTCGTACCATGGACTTAGTTCACTCGCACCTTGTGCTTGTCTATACTCCTCAACGGCCATGATCTGTGCTGAGCCTCGGCGAGACGAACAAGTGCGAGAAACCACTCAACCAAGTGATCTGAATGCACATCAGGTCACCCAAAGTGGTAGTTCTCCTTGACCCAACAAGCAACGAGACACCGACGTGCTCCTCAGCTCTGTAGTACATCGTTTATTTGTTGTTTTGGTTGTCATTTCAATTAATAAATGCACATAGAACAAGAGCAGATATGAGATCTGGACCGGCGATTTGATACCATGCCCTTGTGTCACCCACTTGGTGCCAAGCTGGGAGGTCAGCTGAACCCCAGTTACCCCAGCTCAGACGGCCTAACGAATTAGAAATAAGAGTGGCCTCAGCAGTTCAATGAAGGCAATGGCATAGCAACCACATATACAATATCAAGTGCTATTGTTAAGGATAAACAGTATTGTCGGGGATTTGGGTGAGTTCGTAGACGCATTGTTTGGCTGAACATCTCTTCATCAGCTGGGTAGGTCAGTCGGTACCTGCTATGGACACCTCTATGCATTCTGACACTGTGATGGGCGGATGGCACGCTCGGTCGGCAATGCGACATGTCACGTCGCAGACCCCTCACAGATAGCCATGGCAAGGTGAAGGGGCAAATTGATCCAATTGATTTCTCTCCACAGAGCTACCACTCTGCGAATCGAAATCTCCAGCCTAAGACCCAAAGTTGGTAGGTATCAATCGCTCAATTGCTCGTAGCTGCCACTTGCGCAAGGTCCATGGTGATGCCTGAGGTTGATGTACGTGTTTGTCCCGGTAGGCCGTAGCTGATATTGGCTGTGGACCTTACGGTACTAGCGCCTCGGTGCGCTTTGAAGCCGGCCTGAGGCACTGAAGGCCACAGTCGCACTAACGCTACAGCGAGGCCTTACCAAGGTAACAGGGTGGAAAATTGTTAGCCCCAGGCCAAGACGATTCGGGATTTCCAGGGCAAAACCGCTCACTCGGGAAGTGATTGGTTGGTCGGGAGATCGGCTCCACTATTCTCCCTCAGAGTTCTGCTCAGTTCCTCCGTTCCAACACTCGCTCCTGTAAAATCTCCCGAATTGCTCTCTGCAAAGGCAACAACCCACGCCTCAATCTCCCCTCCCCCAATTGCACCTCGCTGCAATTGTTCTCCTTTCGTCTCCTACCCTCAGATACCTCCTCTAATATGTTCCGCAACGCTGTTCGCCAGTCCTCCCGCGCCATCGGCGCCGTCTCTGCCGCAGGCAGGGTCGCTGCGGTAAGTCTTTGCACTCCCATTGCTCCGACGACCTGGAGACCGCCAACGCCATCGAAACACCACCCCGTACCATCATGCACGCACCCGAAAGACATTCTGGGGAACCAATTGCACAATTGGTTCGATTTTTTGAGCTTTTTTGAGCTGTTTGGAGGCCTGGGTCGCTGCGAGGGACTCGCATCGTGGATCTGAGGTTGGATCTCGGCTAACTGTATTTTTCACCTCATAGGTCCGAAATGCCGCACCAGCTGTCGTCAACGGTGCTCGCTTCTACGCCGCCGACGCCAAGGCTTCCCCGACCGAGGTTTCTTCCATCCTTGAGCAGCGCATTCGAGGTGTTCAGGAGGAGTCTGGCCTTGCTGAGACTGGCCGCGTCCTTTCCGTCGGGTATGTGGAGCTCCGAGAAGATTACTGCCAGGCGTTCCGGCAACGGTGTCGCAAATGCATCTGCCTCGACCATGATGCATTGGCCCTGATCATTCTCATAAATGGTGTGTGGGATTGCAATACTAACTGTAGTGCTTAGTGACGGTATCGCCCGTGTCCATGGCTTGGCCAACGTCCAGGCTGAGGAGCTGGTTGAGTATGTTTACCCTTTCCCTTAGCTTGTGTCAATCGAGCATAATCTCTAACATGGCATAGGTTCGCCTCCGGTGTCAAGGGAATGTGCATGAACCTCGAGGCTGGCCAGGTCGGTGTTGTGTTGTTCGGTACCGATCGTCTTGTCAAGGAGGGTGAGACTGTCCGCCGTACCGGTGAAATTGTGAGTTGCACCAAGACGATGAGCATCAAGGTTGGGCTTAACTTATTGACCAATTCTAGGTGGATGTCCCTGTCGGTCCTGAGATGCTTGGCCGTGTCGTCGATGCTCTCGGTAACCCCATCGACGGCAAGGGTCCCATCAAGACCTCCGAGAAGCGCCGTGCTCAGCTTAAGGCCCCCGGTATCCTGCCCCGCCAGTCCGTCAACCAGCCCGTGCAGACCGGTCTCAAGTCTGTTGACGCCATGGTTCCCATCGGCCGTGGTCAGCGTGAGCTGATCATTGGTGACCGTCAGACCGGTAAGACTGCCGTCGCTCTCGACACCATCCTGAACCAGAAGCGATGGAACAGCACCAACGACGAAGACAAGAAGCTTTACTGCATCTACGTCGCTGTTGGCCAGAAGCGATCTACCGTCGCTCAGCTCGTCAAGACCCTTGAGGAGAACCAGGCAATGCAGTACAGTATAGTCGTCGCAGCTACCGCCTCTGAGGCGGCCCCTCTGCAATATATTGCCCCTTTCACTGGTGTAAGTCCAATTTTTCATATAGTTCAGTTTGTATCTTTACTCTACCGTTCATTTTCCCGTCAATTCTGCTCCTCCATCCCAGTGGATGATCCACAGGGCACAGCTTCTCATTTGAAGTACGAGCAGAACGTTCCTTCCATGTTTGCTCTACCGTGCACTTTCCCGTCAGTTCTGCTCCTCTATCCCAGTGGATGATCCACAGGGCGCAGCTTCTCCTTCGAAGTATGAGCAGAACGGTTCTCCCACCTCAAGACATCGCACACTGGAGGACACCTACTTTGGGCAACAATGCTCCTTCCAATGGAGCTCTTTCCCCAAGGGTCGTGGGATAGTTGCTCCTGCCGTGGACGCAGCCGCTTGACTATATCTCCGCTGCGTTCCCTCCTCTTCTCTTCTTCTTTTTTCTCTCTCTTCATCTCCATCACCAACTCATCATCCTCAACTGTCGGTGTCTTGTCGTTTCTTTCTGGCCCTATTCTGGCCCTTCACAGTTCTTCTCTGGCCCTTCACAGTTCTGCCCTGGCCCTTCACAGTTCTGCTGTGGTCTTTCGCAGTTCTGTTGTGGTTTCTTTCAATTGTCTTGCCATCTGGTTGCCAAAGCCGTCAGAATGGCCTCCCTACATCCCACCACAGAAGCCATTGAGCTCGAATCACATCCCATTGCCGATACCGAGGCCTGTGAAGACCTGGCCGAAGAACTCTTAAACGACGATAGCTTTGAGCCCACAGTCGAGCAAGTTATTGATGGCCTCACGTGGTCTATCGCCACGATGGATGCACCAAGCTACTACATCTGCCCGGTATACCAGACGGTTCTCGGTGAAGAGGAACAATTTGATCAGATCTGCTCTGCTACGCCGCTCTCCTTTGCACCCGACCTCGTGGATGCTCTACGGTCTCCTACTCCACCATCCATCGAGTTTTTTCGCAATCTTCCACCTATGCGCACAAAAGAGAAGATCTGGGGTGTATATGCCCTTCTCCTTGAGAAACCTGGTGCTAAACCTGCTCTGTATGTGGGATCTGGTACACACGCCGAGCGCGGTATTCCGGCCAGATTCAGAAATTATGTCGCAGAGAAGAATCTGCCTCGTTTCGTTGAGCTTGCCCTCAGAGATGGTTATACTATTTCGCATCATGGATTACTCTGTTGGGCTCCAATTCCCGCAGTTGAGCTAATTCCGACTGGTCGCGTCCGGCTCTATGCGGTTGAAGCACTGTTTTCATACCTATTCTACGCTGTTAAACCGACCATCGCCGATGCGTGTTGGGTTGAATTCATGCCATGGAGCAGAGAATCTGTCGATTGGATCCCTCTGTGTGGTCATACTGCGCTTCTGGACCGTCCCCCTGGCGACGTCAATATGACCCCAGCCCAGCTCATAGACTATGAAGCCAAGCGCAAGATACGAGATCAGGAGAACAAGGCTTCGTATCACAAGCGTAGAAAGGCGGCATGGCGAGCTCGTGATCCTGATGGTTATCGTGCTCATGTGAGCAAAGTCAAGTTTGACTGGTCATGGAAGCATCGCGACGTCTGTCTCAGGTTGGCCGCTGGCGTTCGTGCTCGCGCCATTGTATCAAAAAAGTTCTACTGCGCGACCTGTGACTTTGCGTTCGGAAGTGCCGCCACTCTAAATACACATCTATCAAGAGAGGTTCACAAAGAGCAAGTCAGGCTTGCTGCTAGCGGCAGCCCCAAGCCCGTATCCGATGCCACTCTCAAGGTTCGAGCGAGATTCGCAGCGCATGTGGCCAACAAGACATTCTATTGTGAACTTTGCGACAAGGCCTGTGGCACTGCATCTCACCTGAAGATACACTACACTTCCAAGAAGCACCAGAAGCGGCAGCAGCTCGCAGCAGAGAGCTCTTAGTGTCGTGGATGATGCACGTGGCCTACCAGCGCCATATGAGACCTATCGGTCGCTTGTGTGATGGGCAATTGAAACCTATCGGGATTTATCGGTCATGGCCATGCATTTTTCAGCACTGATTGGGATTCTTTTTTACTCGCACTATATTTCACTACACTACCCACCAATTCTGCTATCTTTCATTCTAGTTTCGGTATTTCTGGTATGCTAACTATTTAATGCTAATTAGGCTGCTATTGGTATGCATATCTAACTCCAACCCGAGGGTATTTTGATTGATTTACTAATTATTTTTCTTCCAGCTGAGTGGTTCAGAGATAATGGAAAGCATGCTCTCGTCGTCTATGACGACCTCTCCAAGCAGGCTGTCGCTTACCGCCAGATGTCTCTCCTTCTCCGTCGTCCTCCCGGTCGTGAGGCTTACCCTGGCGATGTTTTCTATCTCCACTCCCGTCTTTTGGAGCGCGCGGCCAAACTCAACAAGCACCATGGTGGCGGTTCTATGACCGCTCTCCCGGTTATCGAGACTCAGGGTGGTGACGTGTCCGCCTACATTCCTACCAATGTCATTTCCATCACAGATGGTCAAATTTTCTTGGAGTCTGAGTTGTTCTACAAGGGTATCCGACCTGCCATCAATGTCGGTCTCTCGGTCTCGCGTGTCGGTTCTGCCGCCCAACTGAAGGCCATGAAGCAGGTTGCTGGTTCCTTGAAGCTCTTTTTGGCCCAGTACCGTGAGGTCGCTGCTTTCGCCCAGTTTGGCTCCGATCTTGATGCTGCCACCAAGCAGACGCTGAACCGTGGTGAACGAGTAAGTTATTTCTCCAGTCTACTTGTCCATGTGTAGAGCCAAGTATCACTAACCAGTAACAGTTGACCGAGCTTCTCAAGCAGAAGCAGTACTCTCCCATGGCTGTCAATGAAATGGTTCCTCTGATTTTTGCCGGTGTCCGCGGTTTCCTCGACAGCGTTCCTGTTAACAAGATTCTTGCCTGGGAGTCCGACTTCCTTGCCCACCTCAAGACCAACGAAACTGAGCTGCTCTCTACCATCGACAAGGAGGGTGCTCTTAGCAAGGATCTTGAGGCTAAGCTTGAGAGTGTCATCACCAACTTCACCAAGAGCTTCCTCGGTTAAAGAGGTTATTATTCTGCCAGGTAGTATAGGTATAACCAAGACTGGGGTTTCGCGTTGATGATGCTACTGGCTGTACCATAGACAAATCTTTAAGTCGTCCATATCCTTAGTAGGATTGGGCAGGAGTGCCAAAAATTCAATTGATTTTCATTTGTCTCCATACTTGACTGATTCTTTTGACGTGCTCAATTCTCAATGTGATGCTGATAGTTTCAAGTGTTCCCATGTCAGAATCTCTAAACTTGGTAGCCTCCATGGTAAATGTACAAGGTGTTTCTCAGGATGACTGACATTAGGCAAAGGTTGCTACTCGCCGCTATCTGTTGTATCATTGAATTGAGTCTTCTAATAGTTTCAAGTGTTCCCATGCCAGGATCCCTAAACTTGGTAGCCTCCATGGTAAATGTCCACCACAGCCTGCAATGACTCTGACATCTCCTCAACTCCTTCTAATTTCCCCCTTTTTTCCTCCTTCCTCAACACCTGTTTCGCCACTATGTAAGTATCACCAGTCAGTTAATTTTCTCTCCATATTTTAGGCAGTAGCTAATTATCTTTGAAGTAGTAGCACCCATAGCCCTATTTTTTGTTGGTGGTTAAGGAGAGTGATAAGTCAGTACGCCTATAGTGCTCACTTATGTTCTGTATTCCCGATTGTGTTTAACAGCTTGCTAACGATTATAGCTCTCTAGGCTGAACAATTTCACCACAGTCTAGCGGTATATAGATCAGCTTCAAATCGTTAAAGAAGGCAGGAATTCTAGTGGCGAAATCCCCGACTGGAACTGGTCTAAACCACTACGACGACCTTTGGGTTGAAGTTCACTAATCCGTGTCTTAGACTCTAGTTTTGTTGTACTTTGACTTCACGTCTTTGTGAAGTAGAGGGTAGCTAAGCTTGGGTCTCAATCCTCACCGTCGACAATGATGATGACATTTACGTTCTTGACGAGACCATATTCTGGAATTTGGTGTGGCTTACTCACCCCATTCTGGTGACTTAGCAGAGGCGACAGTCCCGGCGACCGAGGAAGTCGATCGGCCAGACCCAAGAAATCCATTGCTATCCCTCATCTCCAAAGAGGCCTCTGTGCCAGTATTTTTTCTCTATTATAATCATTATGTCTTTGGGCGAGCTGAAGGCTTGAGTTGAACTCTATGGAGGTTGGTCTCCCTTGGTGATAAATTTCCAAGTTGGATTTAATATTCTGCCATAGGATGAAAGTTAGGTAAGGTTTTCCGATCTTTGATCCCTCTCTTGGTATGATCATTCGATCTCTCCGATTGTGTATATATGGAATGGTCAAGTGGCGTACCATCGTCCGTAGCATATTGTGGATTGCTGATGAGGAAGAGTAGAAGGGGGTTAGCGACCCTAACATCGACCTCGTCGGTATGAATAACGATAATTTGAAGGAGGCTGGCTGGGCTGCTGCTCTCCAGATCTTTGAGTGCCAGCAACGAGATGCTCCCGGGTGGGCCTCGTTCGCGGATAATGAGTTCGAGCACTGGATGAGGACTCGTTGGGTTGCTTCTCCTCCTCCATCTGCCGAGGAGTTGGAGAAGCGGGCTCAGACCTAACAGAATAAGGAGGTAGGTAAGGAGGTAGGTAAGGAGAAGGTCAAGGAGGTAGGTAGGTAAGGAGAAGGTCAAGGAGGTAGGTAGGTAAGGAGAAGGTCAAGGAGATTAGGGGGTGTAAGAAGGCGCAAGCTCGGGGTTTTGCGGAGCCTGGTATTAAGGAAACTTATAGCCCCAAGGAGCCAGATGACAATAATTTCCAAGATCAGGAGGGGCCTTGCAATCCTCGCCTTGGTTATGGTAGATCAGTCGGTTTCCTCGTCCTCATTCATCCATGCAAGTGGGCGTTAGAGTAGCAGGGACGGTAAAGGTGTTCCTATCTCAGCCTTCCAATACAGGCCACGATATTGATAGACAATAGTCTATAATAATAATTATTTTTGGAGTAATTACCAGACGGTATTGTGTAGCACTATTATGTGACTGTTAATAATTCTGTCTCTCAAGGTGACTCTGCAGTCCCTGGTTTCCTGACACCCACTTATCCATGGGACTCTCTTGATGATTTTGGTTGGCTGGCCCTAAAGAGATATTATATGGAACCATGCCTTTTTCTCTGGTAACTGGTTTTGCTTTGCTCGGTTTAATTCGTGATTTCGTGGGCCTTTGTCCTTTTGTTTACCAAGTTTTTTTTTTTTTTAACCCCTGGAGGTTTTCATCTCCTTCCGATTCAGAGTTCTCCTTCTCATATATAATGCCCTTCGATTTGTTTTATTCTTCTTCTTTTTGATCGCTTTCCTCTCCAGATCCAGTATTTTGATCTGAGATTACGTCGCGATCCTCGAAAGGCCAAATCAATCGGTTTTTTTCGCCATCCAGATCTTTACTCTCTCAAGTTCTCGCCTTTCGCGCTATCGTCTTCTAGATCGCCCCTCTTCAGTTCGTTACCTTTTAGCTCTCTATCATGAGGCCTCTTGGTTCTAGACATTCTAGACTAGCCCTGGATCTTATATAAGTAATCTATGAACTGCTGGCGCTACTGATTTGAAAATGCTTCCAGATACAGCGACTTTGGTATTAGTATGAGGTAGTATATATAGTTTCCAATAGTAGATCCTACTAGTAGCTATATAGTTGGTTTCAACAGAAGCTTGTACTCTTCGCTCTTAGTGTATTCAGTTTATTTCCCTAAATGCCAGATACCGTAAGACCTCTTTGTTCTTCTTTTATACAGTTGTTTATGGAGACTCAGGAGGTTCTATGAATAGTCTTATCAATCTCTCTGCTATACTCGTCAGATCCAGAGCCAGAGTAATTGGAGGACTTGTCTGAGGATTTTACAGGGAGGACCATCGACTCAGGGAGTAGCATTGGCTTAATAAAAGGGATCATTCGGTTTGTTCATAATCGTTTGATTCTTGGACCTTCCCATCTGTGACTGGAGTATTGTCGTATTATTGCTATGGTGTTTACTTATTAGGCTGTTTGCTTATTAGGTTGTTTGCTTATTACTATACTAGTTGATTATTTTGCCTAGTTGCTAGATGAAGCCAAGCCCGTAGAGTGCTGAGGAGACACCAGATGCAAGGAAGAGCCGGCTACCATGAAAGGCTCCAGCAAGGTATACAAATGGACGCTACAGCTGGCCCTCTTTGGTGTTGTATTATATATGCCACTTGCGTCGCCTACATGACTACGGAGGTTTTCAATGTGAATCGGGTAACCTGTTATTGGGTAAAGGGAAGTCTACTTGGGGACATCTAGACTAAGCTTCTCCTGTGGCGTTAGATTGCTATCAGCGTCGAATTTGGTGGGTTGTTGTTTTATTGGAGTAAGGTTCTTTTTCTCCATTTATGAAGTTATTAGCATGGGATTTAAGATACTCTTTCATCTGTCCATTTGCATTTTTGAGGTACTGGGCCCTTCTCTGGCGTGCTACGGCCTTGTGCCTTATGTGACCTCTGGGTAGAGGAGAATTCGATTGTCGTAAGTTCGGTTTGGTATTGGGAAGATTGCACACAGATCTCTTCTTTTTTATAAGAGCAAATAGGTCGCACTTATTGGTGGAAAGCCTGATGATGATCTTGTGGGCGAAATCCGATGTAGAGATAATTTTACTAGTCTCTTGTCTCTTTATCAAACTCTGCGGTTGATCAGATCGATGCTGTATCCTGGTAGGTGATTTGGGGTCATATACGAGTAGTTATATCACGAGCAAAATTGCTTCTTTCCTGGACACGTTGGTTACATCACATTCTTGAGCGCTAAACTTGGCTCCAGCGTTGGTCCCTTCAGGTGCGATTCGAAACTGCCTTGCTTTCTTGCTGTCTGCGGATGTTGACTGGATTACAATGAATCTAGCTTATTCTCGAGCGTTGATAGCCTCGCCGAGGTCGTATGCCTCCAGTCGGGGATGATACGCACGTCTGAGCGATATGACGTCCCCGTTTAACCCATTAGTGTATTTGAACCATCCGCGGCGCATGCTGCCAGCTTTCATCATCGAGAACGTCTTCACTCCTCTGCATCTCTGGCGGAAGGTCCTTTCATTAACTTTCCGGAACATGTTGCCAACTGTTTAGGACCACGAGGAGACTGCTGGCTTCAAGGAAGACAAGGATCGCCTGGGTCCGATGCCAACAAATTCCTCGCTGCGCGCTTTCCACTTGATCATCCCTGGACCAATATCGGTCAGTGTGATACCAAGCCCAAGGGCTATGGAGGGCAGACGGAGGCAGCACAAAACCGTTATACCGTATAGGATAAAAAGGACGTTACGATCGCTGAATACGGAATGTTCGTCGTATGCGAGATTACGAGTCTGGCAGTGCTCTTTGATGACCTAAATGCGGTATACGGAGACTGCGTTTTCGGCGTTTGATCTGTTTGTGATCTCAAGCAACTCAGTAATCTCCTCTGTAGGCTTCAGGAGGGTTCGTAATTCCTATCAATCGAAGTTTAAATCAGTACGCTATTCGCCAAACCGGTTGGTTGCATCTTTGTTCTGCTGACTCTGTGTTAATGACTAATGGACAATGCCGGTAAAGGCAAGCTTAATATAATGCAGTCCGCAATCGACATGTCCATTGAAAGATCCATCTTGCGAACAGGCTGTTCCCCTTTGTTTATCGGAACAGTTCTTCTTAGCGCGTTAATTGCCTCAACCAATAAGCTAGCTGTTATCTCGCGGGACCCAACATCTTCCTGGACAATCTCTTCCGTCTTGTCCTCTGATTTGTGTTCCTCAACGGGATCAGCCGTGATAGCGGTTCCGGCAGATGCGTCTCGTCTCGATCGAACGACGCCGTGGGCGATCTGTACTCATCTACTGCTAATATCTTGCATCTTGGGTGATTTGATGTCTGTATTTGATTGGTCTGACGATGAAATGGGGTGAATTTATGAACGAGTTTTATATGCTCTCGGGTGGTGCACAGTCGAGGAAGTGAAATTGTAGGGACTATTCACTAATGGGGATATGGTCAATGAGGTAGGAGACTACTCTTCTTATTAACACGACAAACAAAATAATAAGAAATTAATAAATTATTCTACGATGTTTAGTATACTGTATATATTTATTACCAGACTAATTGGTTTGATATTATGTTGAAATTTAACGCTGGAGTTGTTTGATAAGTTGTTTCTTTATGAAGGCAATTAAAATCTGGGTGGCATTTGCGCTGCAAATTAAAAATTTGTCTATACAATAACCTCCCACTCCCTCTCACATTTTAAAACTCTACCTTTCGATGCTTAACTCAAGAACACTCACTCTTCAAGGGAAAGCGCCCGTTGACTGCAGAATCGACGGCTGGGGCTCTGAAGAAGGGACGTTCTTCAAAGGAATAAACTCCACCTTTCGATACTTAACTTAAGAATACTCACCCTTCAAGGGAAAGCGCCCGTTGACTGCAGAATCGACGGCTGGGGCTCTGAAGAAGGGACGTTCTTCAAAGGAATAAACTCCACCTTTCGATGCTTAACTCAAGAACACTCACTCTTCAAGGGAAAGCGCCCGTTGACTGCAGAATCGACGGCTGGGGCTC